CTTGATTAATAACAATATTAAGGCTGCCGTTTAAAGCAGCGTGTTTATAGATATATTTCGTTACAACAAACATATATAATTACGTGCAAGTAAAATTTACATAAACTTAATAAGCTCACGCTGAGTTTTAGACCATTACACTGGTCAAAACAACGCGATGAAATAATCAAAGTAGAATTAAATTCGTATACATTTTGACAACGAGCTCTCCTATGGTTTTTCATAGAGATGATAATTAAGTAAAAATGTTTTATTACCAATTTGTGAGATAGCTGGCTCCGTTTAACACAATCGAGACATGTCATCTGTAATACATAAATTAACATATAAAAGTGTCGGCCATATTGCCGAAGAACGCCATTATGTGTCTTAAGTACATATTCGAGTGTGTCTATATCTTTCCCTTGGTATGCGTCAAGAAAAAATTAAAAAAAAAATCCACCTCGCGATGCCTACGAAATGACAATTACTGTAATAATCGTGAATTAGATATTATATTACACGGATGACATCAAATTGTGTTTATTGTATTCATAAAATCGTTATGTTTATAGCGGATTAATTTTATAGGTTTTTATAAGATACGGAGATATTACAAACACCCAAGGTTTTTTTCGATGAACCTCTCACAGCTGTTTTCCCATAGCAATAAATCTGTTAAATAATAATTTATTAATAGAAGGTGGCCACTCAGCCGTTTTATGGCGCATACTTTTATCGATTTGATATTTCGACCGAAAGATAAATTAATTAAGAAAATTACGCACATAAAACTGTGGCGCTATGATATATCCTATTGTGATAGGAATGCACTTAGCACCATTAAGGAGATGTTTATGCAAAATGATACTGACATTTTGATGTTTCGTAATTTGGCGTAAGATTATCACATCAATATTATTTTATGGAAGATAGTTGCTTCTTACGAATTATTATTATATTTCACCGTGGTTTAACGATCAAATATATATAGGGTAGGGCAGGGCAAAAAGGTCGAATATGACTTTCAGTAAATATACTGTCTAACTAAATGAACTACATGACAACACATAACTAAAACTATCGAACTAGTTCAGTAAAATTTTCAGGTAACTCTTAATTATAGAAATATGTTGTTCTTACTATTTTTTCGAAGTTTTACTTACTTTGGTAAATAGTATTACTAAAAAAATCTATGATGGACATATTCTTCCACAGACCCTTAGCTATATATATGAAACCGTAGACAAAGATTACATTAATCGACTATTGAATCTAGTGTAATTAATTATTTATGATAGCTTATTTGTATCTATACTCTAAGATCATAGTTCACAGAGTACAAAGGCCATTAAAACTGATGATACGCACAAAATTAAAAATGCATAAAAGTAACATATTTACACCATATTGCAAGAAAAACATGTAATTAAAATTGGCATCGAAATAGACTTGTCAAATAAAATGACAACAGAATCATTACTGTAATGAAATAATTGAACTCATTGAAATAATTGTGTATTTCGAACTCGAACGAGTTAGACAAGTCAAGATCGTTTTAAACGTTAGTTCAAACATTCAAATTTCAACTGCCAATTATCGCTGACACGTTAGCATCAGCACGCAAGATCCGATGTCAAAACAATTCCACATAACACACTCGTATCTGGTATCTGATTAACTGCAACTTACATAATTGTTTCATTAATAAACTGATATTGTAATTAATTCAGTTTGCCCATGCCCCTTATACCGCATACCGTGTTGCCATGTACGACATTCGTTCCAAAGATACGCATTATTCAAGAAGCTGCAGCATTTCTCAAATGTCCGTGGAGGGAGATATTAACATATCACAATTGCCTCGAGGAATACGTATAAATAAATACGGAAATAGAATTTATGATTAGTCCAAGGGCCGGATTATTAAATTAGGGATTTATCAGCTACCGAGGAACCAAGTCCAATTGGTACAACGACATCCAAACATTCACAATTATCAGAATTATTATAAAACGCCAATATTTTTTTATATTTATTTGTATTGCTATTAACTTATTATTATGTCAGTAAAAGCACGGTCATTAAAAAAAAAGAAAATTGGATCGGACCCATTCTGCAAAAAGAAATTTCAGAAAATTGAAAGTCAGAGCACAGGACCAGGAAGCAGAAGTTTTGAAAGGCAAATCCATAAAAGTGATTATTAGTAATAAAATGATAATGATGATAATATACAAGGAAGGGAAACGGAATCATTGATTTTGTGGTGCTCTCACACCATGGACCTGCCTTCTGGCAGACAACTATTTATTATTATTATTATGTCAGTAAAACTGAAATCTATTTTTCTCAAGAAACAACACCTGCTTTCATATACTTTTTTCACTTTAGACTTTGGTAGCGATTACTATTACTTAGAGTAGCCTATTTCTCTATTAATGAAACACATTTTAAGTTAAGAATATTTAATTATTTAAAAATAGTTCGATCTATAAGGTCAAGTACGTTTGGTTAGGAATAACCCTCGATAAATTAATTTTCATAAAATTTGACTATATTATGCAAAATGGTTTATATGACATGTTTATATAAATATATTGTAAACTAGTTGTTAATAAAACTTATATTAGAACCAAATCAATCCACAAAATCTAATTACTAAATTCATACATGGGTCGCGCGGAAGGAAATTATGGAATACTGAATGAAAACCGTGTTATAGGAGTACCGTGTTATCAAAAGGCGGTCTCAATTTTAGTTCTGCATATTATGGAATCCGCGGTCCCAGAGTACCGCGTTATCGAAGGGTTGACCGTATATAAATAATTTTTATCAAAAAATCTTTTATTACCAGGATCCTCCTTTATCTATTAATATCGTCTATTTTAATGTCGGTGATCCGTAAAAATCATCCTCATGCAGGTATTATAAAAACTTTTCCTCATACTGAATTCTTGAGGATTATGATCTTACATGAAAGAACTAATACCAAAAATATGTATGGTGGCGCGAGCATTAAATTTCATATTTTATTTCATTCTCTTTAACGACACTCGAATACGATACCTTTATGTGATATGAGTTTTGATATTTAACAATGAGACGGTTTCCCGCAGAGTTAAAGTTAATAAATAAACAGTTCTATTATGTTATAAAAGACTTTTTTTCCATATCGACTCACTTATTTCAAGCTGAAATAATCTTGATTTGTACATCATTGTAGCGTTTTGGTTGCACGTAAACGTACTAAAACACGATATAAATGTATTGGTAAATTATTATGAAAAACGTGTCTAATCATGGATATATTTGAATAATAATTCATTATTTATATCAGTATTTAAATGACAATCAGAATATTTATGGTCGGTAGTTTATAAAATTTGCTGTCTACTAGAACAATAATATTGGGTAAATGATATATGTTATTGGATAGAGAATTGAATAATATTTTTTTTTGTATTCATTGTTTAGGGGCCAATTCTCCGGTAAAATAGACCGCAACACCATGCTATTTTACGCCACTTTCTTTATATAAAATAGTAGTGAAAATTGTCAAAATGCTATGTATTTGATGTGCGTTCTATATACAAAACCTAACTTTTCGTATGTGTTTTAAATATACATCATAAAGATGCAGGGATGATAAAATTCTTTTTTCGACGTTTGTACGTGTTCTAGGTTAGGCCTGACTGGACACCAAATTCATAGCATTTTGATAGTTTTTAGTACCATTTTATATGAAGAAAGAAGGTATATTTTAAAGGAGAATTAATCCCTTAAGATTTTTAAAAAATTAGATATAAAAATCGATTATTAATAAAAACCGTGAGAAACTTTAAAGCTTTTTGTTAAATATTAAGAAAATTGTTATATCGTTTATTTATATAGCTGTTAGTGTTATCATCATATACTTATGACAATATTACTAACACTTTCACAATATTAAACTAATGGTATATTCGCATTAGTTGTGAATATTAACAATATCAAAGTCACAAATACAATTAATGAAGAGCTCGGTTGAAATGATATAAATTAATTTTTACATCCAGATAATGATGTAAAGTAAAAGTAAAGAAACTGACAAGGTTCTCATATTATACGAAAACAAATATGTTTTCGAACGCATAAGTTCGATGATATCCTTCTTAATGTCCGTTCGAATTAAAAAGATAAATAAGAGTCGAACATTAAATCGTAATAATAAAATACGATTAATTTTTATATGCCTCGTTTTGTATTATATTATAAATGATCTCCCAGCTTTCACTGATACGTGTTTTGCCCCCTAGCAGTGAACGTAAGCAAAGCCACGGCGCGTTCGTCTGGATTACGTAAAATTGGTGCTAAATGTTATTTAATGTGTGATAAATGAAATCAGGTGAAATCTCCAGACGTCACATTGCAACTGATTAATGAACCATTAATTGATCATATTGATTAATTAGCGCCTAAGCTAACGAAGAATTTTATCGACGCGTCTAGGCACCGTTTTGCAAACCCGAAGCAATGTTATAAACGTTTTCCATTGAAAACATTTGTTATTGAAGCTTTTAATATTATTATATAATAATATTTAAATTCAAACCGAAATCCGTTAAAACTCAACAAAGTTACTCAGGCCCATAAGTATAATGCATATTGAGAGTAATAGAGTTCTACTCGGAATTATAGAGTCGAACTACATTAACAATTAACCCTCTATGAGCCAAATTTTCGTTTTCGCCATCCAAACAAATAGGACTGTTCGAGACCAAATAAAAAATAAAAAAAAAGTTTGTTCCTCAAAAGAGATTTCACAAAAAGAATTGTAATTATCATATACCAAAAATGGATTTAGTTAAAATAAAGCCATAAGATGCGATCTCACAAATTGGTAGTTCAGAGAAGTATTTGAAACGAGCTATTAAATCTACTTTATCGACGATCAGTACATTGTTGCTGATAATTGTTGTATGTATATAAACTCAATATTCAATTAAAATATAAACTAGTAAAATGGAAAATTTGTCACTTACCGGCATCCAATATGCGTTGTTTGACCGAGTGTTGTCTGCCGTGCCAGAATTGCCACGCTTTAATTTCGTCTTCAGGACTTTTTTCTTCTCTGAACATCAGCATAACTACACTCTGAAATAGAAAAAATACCGATTATTTTACATATTATAATATATATTTCAGTATTATAGCAAATTGAATATTAAAATTAATGATAATACTTAGAATATCTAATTCACGAGCTTTGTACATATAATTACAACGGTCTGACTAGCTAATTTGACTCAAGTCGCGTTGCTCGAGTAAAAATAATTACTAAGAAAACTCATTAAGCGAGGAATTTGTTATTCATAGAACTTTGGTGCTAATTATGATTATGGTTGTAACTTAGGTAAAATTGCACTTGGTTTTAGAACCACCAAACACCCAAGAAGAGTACCGCTATTGTAATTTACAAAATACGTTTTTATTTTTGTTAAGGTAAGACCAAATTATTCTCATTTCTGTAAATTATTTGCACTGTGACTGAACTGTATATTCATAAATGGCTTCTTAATAAAAATAGAATAAATCATTTTAGGGTCACCAATTGAAGACGCATGCCTTTCTTTACTGAGTAGACATCTTAGAGTGCTTAAGTAGCTTTTCAGATAAAAAATGAAATTTTGATCTCCTCCAATGAGTCAATTTCCTCACATTGTGTCAACTTTATGACGGCATTAAATTCCATTAGCGAAGTATGTTGGTATACGTCGAATAATAACTTGACGCTCGAATCCGGCGTCACGCAAATAAGCCATATTATTGCAATCAGAGTCGGATTACATTAACACGCCAAGGAATTATTAATAGCTGTTATCATTAGATGTGTTGCTGCTTTTCTGTCTGACTTCTCTCATTCGTGCGACTAATGAAATGAAATGTTTCCAATTCGCGACGTTCGTCCTGAACCGTGAAATATAATTAATCCGCAATTATAAAAGATACTTCTACTGTAAATGGAAACGCGAAAGAATATTCACGCGTACGGCTGCTTATTTATTATCAAGTGAAAGACAACGTACGTGGGTACTTATTCACTGAAACCTAAGTAGAGACAAGGAATCAAAATGCTTTGCTAATTAAGTAGTAGTAAATTTAATTTTAATAATTAGTATGAATATGAAAAATATTTTATTAGTGTTTAAATATTATAGAACCCGATTATAACTAACTACGCAAAGGTTCATCAGAATCCCAGAAGAGTAAACCTCAGGTTCTCCTTGTGAGGATCATTGAAAAACTTACATACTGATAATTAATTTTCATCGAGACATTATTTTACATCATTGGTTAAAAGGCTGTCAAAAACGTTCTAAAAATAATTAAAATAATATTGGGTAATGTGCTAATTATTGACATCAAAGAGCTACTTAAGTTTATTCAGGTAGCTATAGATGTTAACTACTCTTCAGAGAGCACCAAAAAAAGCACCAGAACATAAGTAATAATTGCAATATAAATAAAATACAAGTCCTTTATCTGTCAAAATATAACGTGTTTTATAAAGAAATATAGAAGGTATTTGAAAATTATAGCCATAAACCTAATAAGTCTAATTATGATTATGGCCCAGTAAATCTTTTATTCTATGACCAGATCATGAGATTTAGGCAATGCTAAGAGATGCAGTTTGGCAATTTTGATTAAATTCTAAAGAGTACGATTTTCAATGTTCTTTAAAGACAAAATCCTAAGATTCAATAAATCTTCTTCTGTTCTTTCGTCGATGTGGTTAATGTGTCGTCGTGGTGTCCCAACATGTGAGACTGTTTAAGTTTTTTCAATATCGTGAAAGTCAGGCCGTGCGGAATGCGCGTACCTAAAACCCTTGTAAATAACAACAATTTACACGCTGTCATTTGCGCAAACGATAAATGACCGTGATCGCAATCCATTATAATTATGGATGCAATAAATCATGAACAATGAATGAAAAACCGAAAGGCTACTCGACGCCCTGAGTTCTGCACGGCCGATACATCATATCTGCACAGACGTCACCTTTCAAAATATAGAATATTAACTTAAAACATATTTAACATAGTTTAAAAAAATACACAATTTATTGAGAACATTGTCCATTTTGTCTTATTTTCCGCAAATGTGCATTGCGAGTAGTCTGAGCCGATATATTATGCTTTGGGGGTGGATGATAAAGTGAGGACGTTCTTACTCATTTCCATTAAAAAAGTAAATTTTATAATGATCGCAAAAAATTCTTCAAACCCATCTATCCAAAAGACCATTAATATTTTGCGATTAAAATTAAAATCAAGGAGCAGAAATTATTATCCCAGTTAGCAGAAAACAGTGGAAAATCTACTATGAAAATATTTTAAAATACGAACAAAAAGAAAAATAATACAATAGTAAAAAAATGTTAAATAAAATTATCTACTACTATAATACAAATGAGTGATTCTCTTTTTCTCTATGATGTTTTATTAATTCTCCATTCATTCTTTGAAAGGGAAGTCATCTATAAAGCTCAAACGTTTGCAAATGTTGTTTCTTACGTACATGATTAGCGAACATATTCTGAAGTGTGAGAATTTTATGAGTATAGAAATAAGCAAAAAATACAAGAATTGCAAATGCTCACAACTGAATGCGATCCATTTCCCGTCAATGGGAAGAAAAAAAGCTGGTATTAAATAATAAAATTGCAATTAATTATAGATTAGCAATACGTACGTCTACATAGATATTATATATAAACAGATTTATATTGCATAAACCTTAAATATTAAAAAATCAAAAATGACTTCTATAAACTGTTATCATTTTGCACAAACCATTCTACGATAAATAATTGAATGCCGACAATTTGTATTAAAGCGAAACCAATTTGTAATATCAGTGGATAAGCTAATTTGCAAAAGCTTTTAGCAGGCATCCGGTATTGTTGCAAATAATGGATGATATCTGATAGGACATAATTTCATAAATAAATATTATTATGAGAATTCTAAATCCACCGATTCGATACTTTGCTGAAGACTTTATATAAAAAAAAGTTTTCTGATAGTAATTTGTTTGGTTAGTGAAAAATCATCAGATATTATTATGAAAGGGATTTATAATAAAATAAAATAAATAAATATAAAAAACTTGGGTAACATCACATACAAAATCTCGATTTTTGCTTACATTTTATTCCACACGTATAATCTTAATCTGCTTTAAATTAACAGAGCAAAAGCAACATGTACAATAATAGGAAACATTGCAATGCTTTTAAAACCACTAAAGTTCATACATCGCATAAATAAGTAATATAATGTAAAACACAAAAAATAATACCATACAAATGAAATAGCGAAACCGAAGCCAGAAACAACATTATTGCTGTAAATATATGCTAATATTAATAAAGTTCTTAGTAATAACGTATTACAAAAGCATAATACAAATAAAATTAATTGCATCGTATGATATGTAATACATGTGAATAATAGCTTCATTACATATGTGAATAAGAAATATTATTATAAATATCCACATATATGGAGTTAATATTAAATAACCACATATAGGGAGAATTACATGTGCAGATAATTAAAACTAAAAACGCATTGGTACCTTGTATTAACAATATTTGAGTAAAATATCTATAGTTGTAAAAGCTCTACTTTTATTAACTTTAAACTATCATTAATTAAGGATACAGCGGGGCACAAAGGTCTACTTTGATTTAAAATATTATGGGAACCAAAGCAATTATATCACAACAAATCACACAAATCAAACAAACAACTATCTGACTATGTTCAGTAAAACTTAGTGATTATGCTTGTACAAATGTGTTTTGTTGCTGTTTTTCAAAAATTTGTTACCTGTTTTTTTACCCCATAAGCGGGGTAAATTGGGACGACCAGGGGAAAACAGGTCCAATGTGTTATTTTTATTTTTAAAGGGATTTTACGAAATAATTGCTACATTATTCAACTAATGCAAAATACAAATTTTTAAAGGTACATTTTTTATAAAGATAACACTGTATATAACCTTGATTTGGTACTTCGTCAGAATTATTTATTCGCTGTGTTGGAATAACTATTTATTTAATTTATCTCTTGTAAATTGCTTTTTTTAACTTAGTTCACAATTTTATTTACTATTTTTTATTGTTTAAATCTTTGTCAGGGTAAAAGTTCAGTTGGACCTTTTTACCCCACCCACGTGTAAGCTTTTATAGTGATTACATAATAAAGCTATTGAATCTAACTTAAAATTAACAATTCATCTTATAAAACAATTAAATAACGTATACTTAAAAATTATATTAGGGTGACGACTATACATCTTTTTCCTCTTCTTTCAAATATTGTTGTTGAAAAATTCTGAACTTTACTTGTTTTTGAGATATCGGTGGTGAACCTTTTTACCCTATACCAAGAAAGCTTCAAAAAGCTCTCAGTAAAAATTTTCTATCTCAAATATAGAATATAACATTGATCCACAAAAAATTCAATCATTAGAAATATGATCTGCATAAGCGAGGATTGACGTTTCAATCCTGTATCAAACGAGAATTATATTCGCACGATCGGGTTACGATGATACGCATGTATTCTGCGTATTAGACCCTCGTATCTTTGTCACAAAGCATATCGAAACTAAAGTCAATATCATTGAGGAACTTCTAAGGTACCGTGGATTATGTACGTGCCTTGCATCAAATCAAGCGTTTCCGAACGAAGATAGGATGATACATGCACTGGCCCTGGGCTCTAGGTACATCATATGTGGATCATGAGACAGGGGTACGAGTAACAGACTTTAAGTATCTGCTGCAACGGGGTGGAACTGACTTGGGGGAAAATAGATGGTTTTATTTTATTTTTATTGGACTTATTTAGTTTTTTCAGCTAGAATTTTTATTTTTCTCATAAACTCCTTCAACTTTAACTTATTATTCAACAAAGTAACTTATCCTAAGGTCCTGATTAATGTCTCTATGAATAATTGTTGCTTAATATTTACAGTTGCAGTAACAATAATAATTTAAGTAAGATTTAACAGTTTTATTATATAAACTCTATAAAAGCTTACACCTGGGTGGAGTAAAAAAATTAACTAAACATTTA